AAAAAAAGAATGCTTACAAAAAAAGAAGAAAAATGCTCTACATGTTTGATGCTCCAAACATCATTTCCAAAACAAGACATTATTTTTTCTATAAAATGAACTGAAATCATAAAGTTTGATAATACTGTATTAGTGAGAATAATAGGGAAATTAGTACTTCTGTACACTGGTGGCAGGAGTGAAAACTGGAAAACAACCTATATGAGGGATAATTTGTCAATATCTATTAAAATTACAAATGGACATATCCTTTGACCTAGTAATTTCTAGAAATCTGTCCTACAGATATACACCAACATGTATGAAATGATGTATGTACAAGGAGAGTCACTGTAGCTTTGCTGTAATAATAAAGACTGCAAACAACCACTATGATTACCAATAAGGGACTACACAGATCCACAGGAGGGAAAAGAAAAAGGAAGTGCCAATAAATAGTTAAGGTAAGAAAGCAGGATGCAGAATACTATGGATAAATGCTACCAGTTGTGTATGTATGTTCACGTGTGTGTACATAGATATACACATACACACATGCTTATGTACTCATATGGTAGAACATTCTTAGCAGGTTGAACAAAAAACTTGATAATACCATAGTAGCTGTCACCATAGACAGACCTTGGAAGGACAATGAGGGATAGAAGTAAGTAGGTGGAAGGCAGGATTACTTTTTGTGTGTGTGTGTGGCAACAAGGATCGGTATCTGATTAAAACATCAAAATTGTTGTCTACATTATGATAATTTTTCCAATAAAATATTAACATATAAGCCCAAACAAAAAAAAATTCTAATGCAATTATTCATTTGAAAATTCTTACAAAGAATCAAATAATGTTTTTATACATTTAACATTTTCTTCATCGAAAAGAAAACAAGTATATCAAATCAGTGCTATTACAGAAATTCTAGANTTGAGCCTCTGCTCCCAGGTATATTTAAGTATGTTATCTAAAAAACTAGAGGTCAAAATTCCAGAAGGGATGAAACTAAACACCTAATGTGAGTTCGGCCCTCTATGTGCAGTCATAGCAGCCTATACTCCCCCACCAATGCCCTGCTTTTATCACTCTGCATACTATCCCCCACTAGGCTGTAAGCTCCACGAGAGCACAGCTCTTTTCCTAGCATAGTGTGTGGGCAGGTGCTCAACAAATATTTCTATAACTGAATATGAAACACTTAAGAACCTCAGAAAATAGGCCTTAGACAATTTCAGTTACTACTACAGCTTTGTATACTAACTAGTGTGCTGCCTTTGGCTCTATGCTCTTCTCTGGAGAAAAACCGTAAAGAATGTCTGGTAATTTCTGTGACAGACTAGCGCTGGCAGCTGGCACAGATGCTGTAAGGACAGCAATGTGCTGGCCACTGCTCTCTTCACAGAAGTCTGGATCCAGCCTCCGAAACTCATTTCCCACCTGGGGGACACAGACACAGACTCTCATACTGGTCAACGGAAGTAGTTTTCCAGGTAGCACCCAGATACCTAATCTACTCTAGGATTTCAGGCATCAATGTTTGCAAGGTGCTTGACTCATATAACACCTGGTCAATATGTGAAAATATTATTAGCTAAAACAGTTTGCTTCCTAGATATTATACCATTTCCTACTTTCATCTTTTTAGAAATAACTTTATTTATAATATAGTTTTCTTTAAGATGACAATAGCAAAATCTATCCTCTTCAGAGGACTTAAACACTTGAAGAAAGAAGCTGATTTCTCAAAAGCTTAAAGTCATCCTACCTTCATATTTTCCTTCACGGGCTCCAGACTTCCAGTTAGTAGCCTTGGGAGACGAACTACCAGATCCCTAGTCTGTAGTTATAAAACAATCTATCGTTACTATATATGCATAGCCAATTAGTTTCGAAAAAACCAAAGTATTACTAGAACTACAAAACTAAAAATTTTTAAGTGACCCAGTCAGAGAAGTGCTAGCAACCCCAGAAACACATAAACTTATTCTGTTTGAGGAAAAAAACATACTAAAAAAAGAACTTAAGGAACCAATTTGATGGAATATTATAGAATAATACAGCTATATGTTTAACCTCGCAGGCAAATTCATTCTTGTACAGAAAATACCAGGCATTTATAGAAGTCATCTGTTACAAACATGAGTTTTGACAGTTACTAAATGTAGCTGACATGGAAATATATAAATGCTCCCCCCTTTGTTTACCTTCTTCACACTAAGTTCAAGTTCTTTCTGAAAAAATCCCAATCTGTTATCCAGTCTTTCCACTGAAAAATTCAGCAAAAATGGTGCGTTTTTGACCATCTGTGTAATATCTGCCTTACTGAAGTTTTTTGACTGTAGATAAGCCACTCTAGAAAAACAAACAAAAATACATGTACATATATTTACTAATGTCATGATACTTTCCAAAATACTGTTTTTAAAAAGGCTCCCACCCCAACAACAACAAAAAAAGGGAGAGAGGGTTAAAAAAAAAACCCATTCTATAATAATGGCCCAAATATGGTTAAAACAAGCATCCATCCAACTCTAGAATGGTTACCATTTACATTTGAAAACAAAATAATTCTAAAAGCCACTAATAGATTCCCTTTTCAGTTAATCTGGTTTATTTTATTACTTGGTAGGGAAAAAAAGAAATAAATTTTATTTAAGAATTTTTTTTTTTGGTCTAAAAACAGAAAAAACAAATTAAGAAAACAGATTCAGAATTCTTTTTACAAAGAAAGACTGAAGCATGAGTGCAAATTTTTTATTTTAGTATCTCAGAGACACTGAAAGAGAATTTTTTATTTTAGTATATTTACTGAGTATGTATTTTCATAACTAATTTTTACTGCAGTCTTTCAATATATGTTTTCTTAACAACAGAGAAATTTCCTGCTAAG